TAGTTATAATTTTACTATTCTTCAAAATTTCCCCCTAAACTATTAGAATGCTTCCTCTAGAGTACAAAATTGAGACAACATGCTATCAAAACGCAAAGATATGGTGCAAGTCAATTCCCATTTAGTAAAAACTGTGTTTTTGTTGTTGTTGTTTTAATTTAGCCTTTCCATTTTTTTATATTACCTGGAGCCTTTTTAAGTTCCCTGAAAAACAAATATTTGATTTCATTCCTTGTATATAATAAAAGCGCAATCAGGAGGCATAAGCAAAGCATAGTGAGGTCTTCTAAGGCTCATTTATGAATCATAAAAGGCTTGATAGTGTTAAATACCAATTGCAATGCTAAGGAAACATGCTGGGAAGCATTCGCGCAGCTGGAAAACCATAGCATCAGGAGTCCTATTAAAAATAATGTAAAATAAGTGTAGATCTCAACAGATTTCCTACTTTGCCATAGTTGTTTTATAAACTGGAACAGAATTTTGTTCTTGTAGTTTTTTTTTTTTTTAACTGTAAAATGATCAAGGTTTTGTTTGTTTGCTTTTACAATTTCAGCAGCACTTAAAGTTATAAAAAGAAGCCTCATTGAAAAGAAGAGAAAAAAAAGCTTTTATTGACTAATACATTCTCTTAGTAACCACTAACAGTAATAATATTCAAACACAAGGCTCTATAAGCACAAAGGAACTGTAAACTTCTTTGTCATTTCTAAAAGAGCTAAGTTTAAATGTTACTTAAAAAAGCAAACACTTCTCATAGTCTAATCTATTCAATTCTAACAAGGTAAAAAGCCTGAATATGGTTTTAAAAATTGCTCATTTTTACTGTAATTATAAAAAATTGTTCTTTTGCTGATAACATTATATCACACACATAGACAAATATTCATTTTATTTATTTTTTATGTTTATTGAATTTACTGGGGTGACATTGGTTTGCAAAACTATACAGGTTTTAAGTGTACAACTCAATAAAAAATCAGCTGTACAGTATATGGTGCACCCACATCACCACAAGCAAGGTCTCTTTCCATCCCCATTCTCCCCTCCTATTTGCCTCCACCTCCTCCTCCACCTACCTACCACCCCACTTTCCTTCTGGCTGTCACCACACTGTTCCCTATGTCTTTGCGTGTATATCTTATCTAATAAAAGGGTAATATGCAAATTAACAGTGACTCCAACATAAAAGATGGCAGTGCCCCTAGCCAAAAGATGGCAGTGCCCAGTCCTTTCAGCCCTGCCAGAGTCCCCCAGTCTTGGGGAGCGGGAAGCCACTGAGAACGGGCAGTGTGAGCGTTCCACCCCAGCTTTGGAGGGTCTCTGGCAGCAAGCACGGAATGCCTGCATCATTGCAGGCCAGGCTGGGGGACCCTCCCACCCCAGTGCAGAAATTTCATGCACCAGCCCCTCCCCTAAATATATATATATATATATATATATATATATATATATTCCCTTTACCCTCTTTCATCCAGTCCCCCAACTCCCCTCCCTTCTGACAACTGTCAGTCTATTATAATTATGGTTCAAAAGTAATCTGTAAACTAACTCATAATGTTTAATAGCCAAGATAAAGCAACATGAAAGAAAGCATTTGGTATCCTTTGTATATACTAGTAGTAACAGCAATAGTAATAATAGTAGTAATAATAATAATAACAACAACGATTACTTATCTTGAGTGTTTTCCATTTGCTAAGCAACACACTAAGACCTGTACATACATTCACTCTGAGAGCCAGCTTCTCAAATATGATGCATAAATTCCTTTAATAACCCAATAGTAGAAGTGAATTTAGTATCTATAATTGCATACAAGGTTAGGGACGCAGTAATTTTTTTGACTTGCAGTTAGGTTTTGGTTGTGTGTGTGTATTTTTAATCTGTATCAGTATACACAAGAGTATCCATCTATGCCAAGATCTTTTCACACAGTAAATTGTGAGGTGGGCATTTAAATTATTCTTTCTTCATGTTAGTGTCCTTCTTCCCTTCGTTGTGTCTCCTGCATCTATCCCCCATCTCTGCTGTCCCAATGATGTATTTGACTAAATTAAAAAGGACTGCAGTGCTGTTGTACTACCAGATATTAGCATTTAGCTCAAACTGCCATTCTATGGAGTAAAATCATTCCCACCCTACATAATAAAAGCCTAATATGCAAATCGTTGAATGGTGGAACTACTGGCAGAACAACTACACTGACCACCAAGGGGCAGACACTCAATGCAGGAGTTGCCCCGAGCCCACAGGCCAGCCCTGCAAAGGGAGGAAACAGGCAGAGGGAGGCAACCAGTGGCAGCAGGGGGGTGGGGCCAGTGGTGGATGGTGCCAGGCTGGCCAAGGCAGGTGTCAGAGGGGGCCCCCGATTGCTCCACCGGTTGCTCCTCAGATCAACCCTGATCGCCGGCCAAGCCTAGGGACCCTACCCGTGCACGAATTTCATACACCGGGCCTCTAGTTTTACATATAATAAAACTGATCTTAAGACATAATCAATAACATTCCAAAGGATGTGTACCAAAGAATGAATAGATAGATGACAGATGATAGATAGATGATAGATAGATAGATAGATAGATAGATAGATAGATAGATGATAGATAGATAGATAGATAGATAGATAGATAGATAGATAATAGATAGATAGATGATAGATAGATAGATAGATAGATAGATAATAGATAGATAGATGATAGATAGATAGATAGATAGATAGATAGATAGATAGATAGATAGATGATAGATAGATAGATAATAGATAGATAGATGATAGATAGATAGATGATAGATAGATAGATAGATAGATAGATAGATAGATAGATAGATAGATAGATAATAGATAGATAGATGATAGATAGATAGATAGATAGATAGATAGATAGATAGATAGATAGATAGATGATAGATAGATGATAGATAGGTAGATAGATGATAGATAGAGATAGATAGATGACACTCAAATACCTAAATTTGTACAACTAAGATGTAAGTGTCGCTCTGTGGAGTATGAGTATACAGTATTCCCTATCAAATTGTATTAGTATTACCACACTAGGTCAGAGAAGCCCCAGCAGATCAATGGCTTCAGCTGCCTCCAGCTGGGGCTCATTCTGTGTAAGAGATAAAAGGACAAAGAGTTTTAAGAAACAAGAATTGTCTGTGAATAAGCACCAGAAGTAGTAGTTCTACAAGGGTTCAAAAAATTGGGCTGTTTAAGGTAGTGAAAATGTCAGGAACGGCCTTATGGAGTAGGGGCCCAACACAGAACCTTGGAAGTGAATGTTAAATAGGTGACAAGGGGAGAGAGCTCAAATTTGACACAATATTAGACCACAAAATAAGTATAAGGCAATCTAAAAGTATTTTGATTTTTCCTATAACTATTTATTTGATTAAAAGCATATTAAATACTATTTAAAAATAATGGTGCCCAGCTTTGTTGATATCCTAAACATAATTTTTCCCTTTATTTTATCTATTGCTAATCTAACAGTATATTTGATTTTCTTTTAATTCCTCCCTATTTTTAATTAATTCTAATATAAAGTTACCATTCACAAGACACAGAACACCACAAGTTCCAATGAATAAACTTTAAAACTTAACATTATTTCACTGACTAGGCTTCAATTCAAAATTACTATCAATAGCAACTATAATCCCTACCTCTGTCTCATTGTCTTAGTTTCTAAATATTTTAGTTTTTAGTCTTCACCAAGAGTACTCATAAACACTATAGGAGAAATATAGAATAAGTAAGAAGACATAAAGTTTGGGCTTATTAGTTATGTCTTTATTTATTACATATCTAATCTATGTCAGATACTGCATTAGAAAAGTCATAGATATCAATCATAATTAGTAATATATGATTTTCTCCCTCATACGGTATCCTTCTTCTTGATAATAAACTTTGAAATTAATAAAATATTGTCAAAATGCTTTGAAAATTGCCTATATTTGCTACTTCCATAAATAAAAATTTTAATTTTGGGTACAGTTCACAATGTTTTTTAAAGGAAAAAATATTTTTATTATGTTGTAGTATTCTTACCAATATTTTTTTTGCCTTAATATTATGGAAAATGTAAAAATAAACTTAAGTATTACAAAATACAAAGTAAACACAATGTTATAATATTTAAAAGATAAGAGTTTATTTCAAAAATATGAGTTAATTAACACTGCCAACTAAGAAATAGTGAAATAATGCTTTCTTGGCCAAGAAGAAATCCTTGGTTTATTTCATTAAAAACATAAAATAAAATGTCTAGCCTCCTGTCTAAATATGCTTAATATTCTTTTTTAAAGTATATTTTTATTGATTTCAGAGAGGAAGGGAGAGGGAGATGGAAACATCAATGATGAGAGAGAATCATTGATTGGTTGCCTCTTGTGTGCCCCCTACTGGGGATCAAGCCAGAAACTTGGTCATGTGCCTTGATGGGGAATTGACCCATGACTTCCTGGTTCATAGGTCATCACTCAATCACTGAGTGACCGACCAGGCTTACTTAATATCCTTGATTTATTTTTATATAGTATCTTATTTTAGGTTCTTTGGTTTAATTTTCTCTTATCTCAAAAATATAAGTATCCTATCCTAGTATAGGAACATTTTATAATGAAATTTAGATTTGTATCACCCATTCTCTTTGTTAAATAGAAAGTTAGCATTTTTAAAGTGGGGAAAAAAAATAGTGTTGGAAAACCACATTCCATTTTACAAATAAAGAGCAAATACTTTCAAGATATCAAAATCATCACATATTAGTTAATTTAAGACAAACATCTCTCTGTAATAGAACTATATATCTCTCTTTGATTCTTTATATTTAATTGCACAAATAACATATACTTTGAGTAAAATTGTTGCAGGAAATATATATTTGAAATATATTGTTGTTCTTTGACTTTTTTAACCACTTATCATAAAAAAGTAAAATTTCTTAGCAATCTACCAAAGGTAATAAATAATGATAAAAGGGACTTACATGATCAATTAGTTCACGGACCATTCCATTCCATTGTCCATTGGCATCATCCTGGGCTCCATATTTCCCATCCTCTACAAGTCTAATTTCATATGTGAAGCCAAGGATTGTAGATAATTCTCTGAGAAGGTCAATGCAATAGCCTTCAAATCTATCGTTCCCATAGAGTGGTTTGTCAGACTTCTTAAACAGGACATAGGGTTCTTCCTGGAAACAGTGAACATGAACACAAGAGGTATCAGCTAATCATGAAGCTATTAGAATTATAGCACTCCTTAGAAGATGGAAAAATTCACATTAATTTATGACACAAGTCAATTTTATTTTTTTCTAGTTGTAATTAATATAGTTTGAAATACTAATAAGGTAGATTATCAGGAACATTTGTGCTTCACAAAAGAATATTTAAATATAATAATTTTACCTTGACTACATAATAAAAATATAATGTTATGTCTTTACCATATAGCTTATTTCATATATAATAAGTAATATGACATGTTATATACTGTATAATACATATAGATATATGTATAGGTATAATATATAGTACATTTAATATAATTTCACCATCATTACAATACCCACATTTAATTTATACCATTTAATCAATATTTGGTATGTTATTTCAGTGGGATCTATAGATAAAATAATTTTTTTAAAAGTTATTGCCTAATTACTTACCATGTGCTAAGAACTAGAGTAGTACTTTTATATGTATTAACACTTTTTTCTAACAACCAGGAAAATGACAACTATTATATTTAATTATAGGAGAAAAGTAATATCTTCTTTTAGAATATATTATAAAACTAACATTTAACAAGAACTTATACATTCATACAACATTTTATGAACCACCTACTATGAGGCAGCCCTTCTCTATAAAAGAGAAATGCAAGTCCTCAAGTTCATGATATAGAGAAGAAAACCAATACTAAATGCCTAAACAAATAGAACATGTAACTCTGTCATCAATAAATGGTATAAAAATGTAAAATAGGGCAATAGGATACAGAACTACTGCAAGATATTTGGCAAGATAAGAGAAGACAAGACACAATTGAGTAATATGCGTGGAATGGAGAGGAGAGATGAGGTAGAACTGAAGGAGTTTGGCCACTTGAAAATATGAAAGAAGGGGATTTTAGGTCAAGACTCAGCAAGTAAAAAGCCCTGAGACCAATATGACACTGGACTATTCCAGGAAGAGAACAACAGCCATCAATGAAGAGATTAAGAAAACAACAAAAAACACCTCATAGAAACAGACAGCAATATGTGATGATCAGGACTCTTTTACAATGGTCATTTTCAAGAGAGGTTAAAACAATTTCCCAGTTTATATGGTTACCAAGAGATAAAGAGGATCTAAGGAGAGGAAAAGATGGTATTTTTAATTAAGATTACTTAAATTCCAAGGTACACACTTTCCCCACTATTTTATGTTGCTTTCTATACTATCAGACCATTTGTGGCAATCCATACATGCTGAATTTTTAAATGCACTTGGGTTAAGTAACTTTAAATCAGAAATCAATCTGTAGCTAAATTCAAAGCTAGATAATTGGTTTTACCAATAGGTAAGAGAACAGTTAGGATCCTCTCTAATTTTTATGTATGTGATCACATGTAAACTTCATTCCTGTGGTACACAGAGTACTAAGAATTTGATAGATACAGTATTTTTCCAACCTTGGGGTTATTATATCCTTTCTGCTCTACTTTTTAAGTTAGATAACATGATTCCATTGATCACAATTTAGATACCCTCGTTACACTGACAAGAGGAAATACTAGAGCTAAACAGCTTTCATGTGCAGAGCATATTCAGGTGTCTCTTTTTCTGGTTTTCCCACACAACTTCTGAATTCTTTTACCATAGTATTTACCATAATGAGTAGTGAGAGATGATTTATATGTGTATCTTCTGAACTAGACTTGCAAAATGTACGTGGCAAGATAGTTACTTAAATTTTCATTAATAGTACCAGTCATCACCAGGCACCTAGCAGGCTTACAAACAAAATGACTGTATAATGAACTAATGGAAATGGGTTGCTGTGGTCAACGAGGGCGGGGGAGGGCAAGGGAACTTGAACTTGAAGAGAAAAATTACCAGAGGTCTGTTTCCCTATGGGTCCTATTATAGTAGTAACAAATCCTCAGGTCACAAACCAATGAGAAGAGGGTTAGAGACTTGAGAAGTACACACCATACTCCCCTGCAGAATAGAGGCCAGCCCGAGAATTTAGGGCTGGGAATTAAAAGAAGCATGTTGGTTCAATAGATTAACTGTCAACTTCATACTTTGGTTTTCATTGTTTCTGACTTAGAAATTAATGAATATATATATATATATATATATATATATATATATATAATTAATTATATATAAATTAAATTTATTTACATTTATTAAATACATATAAAATAAGTTATATTAATATGTATTAATTTAAAGGTCACAAGCACTAACCATTTGTCAAGATCCCTGCACTAATAGCACCATCCAATATTTCCCAAGCACTTACTTTGTGTCAGGCCCTGTTCTATGTGCTTTTCTTAGATTAATTTATTTATTCCTCATTACAACCCTGTAATGGTCAGTAACATTATCGTTGCTATTTTATACGTGAAATAACTTAGGACAGAGGTGCAAAGTATTTTACCTAACAACAGTTAGCACACAGTTCAGGTAGTCAGACTACTAGACCACATTAAATGGTTCCTAGTGATCATTTCCAAACAGCATGTGAATGCATAATTGCACATAGCTCATTGGATAACTTAATATGTATTGTATGGCTTTATTTTTTTTCAATCAACTGGGATTAACTTCTATTCTATGCTGCATGCAAAATGACAATACACTTACTAATTAAACTATCCAATCAAAACAACAATGTAGAAAATGAGTAAATATGTAATCCTAAAATTCATTTTCTACATCACAAGTTATCTCCTTTCCAAATAAGAATACATTTTTTTAACATAACAGTATAGAATTTAGGAAAATAGCATATTTTAAACCTATCAGACTCAGTAATATATGTCTAAAAAAATTCTCCTATTTTCCCATTTTCACTGTTCAATCACCACTGTCTCTATTTTAATTTTTTTGTTCCAAAATATTTATGGTATATTTTTCACACAAATTCACTTGAACACTGAAGAAAAATATGATAAAAGCTAGTGAACACTTAAGAGTTCCTGAGGTATGTGCATGGGAGGTATATGTGCACAAGGTACAAAAGCAGAACAAAAATTCCAAGAATTATTATGCTATTTAAATGACATTAATCTAGCGTGTAGTAGTAAACATTTGCCCTATTAACTTGATTTTTTTCACCTATAACCTAATAAGAAAACTTCTGTCATAGGCAAATAAATTTGTTGATCCCTATAAGATTAAAAAGCCTCCTTAGACAGGCTTTCGTATTACCAGAAAAAAATTATGTGGTCTGAGTGCATCTTTTTAGTATTTATGGATCTCTACAATGTCAAATACCATTTTCCCATATTTAATTCTGATAAATAAGACACAGTTTTCCAGCTGCGATTCCTATCTCCAGTTACACTGTGTCACAAGATAGTTTACATGGAGTTATGACTCTCTTTTAAACTCTCTTTCTCTGCTTCGCGCAGCACAAGAATAAATAATATACTCATGTAAGAAAAGAAAAATGGTACCAGAAGCAATTACTGTACCACATATTGAGTTCAATGAATAATATGATAAAACTCTCCTGGGCAACTTCACTGATTTCTCATAGAGACTTAAATCTCCACATCAGCATTTGCTAGAGGTAAAGGCACTTCATTCTACTGGCATCTGTAATAAGGATTTGTCAGCATTTCCACTATCAACTCCAGTTTTAAGGAAACCAATAACTCATATATTTTTATCAGCATTAGATGGGAGTTGGCACAGAATAAACCTAAAATAAAGTTCTGAAAAAGTAAAGTATGTTTTAAGGTTCAGGGGAACAAAATGTTTTATTTATATATAATGAAATTTTATGATTATAAGTGTATAACTCATATGTACCTCAGTCCTTCTCTACAGAGAGCAAAATTATCTTCCTCAGATGTTAGCCCTTGAACTATATTGTCTTACCCATGATATTCAAAAGACAGGGCCATACAATGCAAATTAATTTTATATTATAATCTATAAAATATCTCTTGCTATCTCAATAATAAAGCTAAACTAACTAATTTATTTCTTCAAACATGAACTGAACTATTATGTACCAGCAGTATTTTAGGCTCCAGATATACAACAATGAAAAACAAAAGAAAACAATACCTAAGAATTCTGCCCTACTGGAGCTCCCATGTAGTAATGAATTTAAGACACTTACCTATTTCATATAATCCTGTATTACTTGCATGGCTACTCTGCTTCATTAATCATTAGAACAAAATATTACTTTAGAGCACATTTCTAAGAAACACAACTGTGTGTCTTGTTTTAGAGCATTCTGTTTCTCTGTGGATATTCAGTTGGCCACAGTCTGGTTCTGAAATTACCCTATTACCAGAAAATTTTAAAAAATTAGTTTGTGGCAACTAGCTGAAACCCAAATTGCTTATGGATAACATTATTCTCAATTAAGAACAGTATTAAAGGATTTATACTTTATGCATCTATATTGTTAATGACTCAAATTTTTTTTGTAATTAAGATAAAGTTGACCAAAAACAAAATAAAACAAAATAGCAAAAAAAAAACCCACAAAAAAACAAAAAACAAAAACACCACCTTTTCCCAAATAGCATCCCTATGGGCCAAATGAAAAGTTATGGACTTTACAACTTAAAAATGAGCAGTTTATATTTTCCCAAGAATCATTTATTTTTTTTCTATGTCTGACCCTTGAGGGCATACTCATTACATCTCATCACTCTCCTCACGCTGAAAGCACTGACTAATAAATAATAACAGAGCAACTTGTTTTCCAATGAGTGCGAAGATCAAGGTAGGTGCTGAGAAGTTGATCAGAAGTAGAAGGCTAACAAATGAGCTCCATGAAGGGCAAGGGCAATGATGCTGCTGAGGTTGCCTCTTCTGGAAGTTGAGTCAGCTCTTTAAAACTATAAAACATATGTGTCAACACGAGAAAATGTTTCAAAAAACAACTTGCTCTAAGATACTCAAGAGAACACAAAGTAGAGAATCATGTTTTTGAAAGGGAGATTAA